CCTCATGATCCAATGGTCTTCCATGCACATGGACTTTTTGAGGGTCATTTTAGATTTAACCCATAACGTGATATTCACATTATGCAGCAGATGTGCAGAAATCTACATAATACTGGGAGAAGCAAGACATGGGAAGGAGAAGTGATGTAATAAGTGGTGTCAGAAACGATCAGCAAGATGTCAACTGAGAAAGTTTCAATCACTCCAGCACAGAAGAATCAGATAAACACATTACATATTAAGATAAGGATGATGGAAAACCTCAGAAGGGACTGAATACTACAGAGTCTGTGACAAAGTCTGTGTGTTTTCCAAGGGCATGCCTTCCGTTTTCACTTCATCTTGGGTCACATACATATATTACTTAAATTGAACACATTTTAGCACCAGTTAAATGTAACCATCAAAATTACAGCCAATGTGTCATTATACCTAATCAGAAGTTTAAAATTGCTGCCCCCTACGTTGGTTCCAGCAATAATCATCCTCCGTCTGTGCCCCAAGGAGACCTCAGATGCAAGCAGCTCATACACACATGGGCATCAGCACACTTAGAAGCCTCTGTGCAAGTGTGATTTCCAGACATCTTTCTGTGGGAGCTCAGGGAGTCCTGAGCTCACTCAGGCCATGCCAGGGAGTAGCACATGCAAAAATGAATTCTGGGACAGTTGTAATTGGGCCAAACAGGTTTGACTTTAGGCATTTCAGCTCCATAATAGCATCTAAGAATTTGTTTGTAAAGTACAGAGTCCCAATCCAGAGTGCCCCTCACAGAAAGAGCACCGCCTGCGAAGGTGGTCTGTGTGCAGGAGTGAAACCTGTTCTCTGCTGGGGTGGCTACAGCTGGCATGTCTTCATGGCAACTGTCTATTATATTTCTGAGGATTAAGCCATCCTCACAGGTTTTAGAGCCAGTAATCATTTTTGTCCTCTAATATCATTGTCTCCTTGGTGACTACAAGTGCAGAATTAGTCTGCTGGTGTAAGATCAGGCTAATACTGAAAAGGTGAGATCCAGAATCAGGGCGATGGATCAGGAAGGGACAACACCAGGTCCAAAAGGTGATCACAAAGTTAATCTCCAGCCTCACTCTGGAGACTTTGAGGAAAAGAAAATCACACCTCCCTGTGGTTTCTTTGGATTAGACTTTAGTTTTCCTATGCAAGAGGATTTTCTAAGCACAAGTCCTGTCCACTTCTTTCAACCCTTCTTCTATGACCCTGTCACCAATCAGAAGATGATGCCCCACCTGTCACTTTGCCCATTCAAGAAGAAAGTCTTCACCTTTCAGTTTGGTACTCTGTTTCCTTCCATTGTTCTAGAACTCAAAAGAAAGATGTTACTATACGTGCCACTCCTTAATATTAGGATTTCATAATTAAGTAGGGAAAACCAAACCTGAGTAGGAAACCACTTAAATCATGAGCAAAGGCACCTTTCCTGGACAGAATCTGGTATCTTCTCCTTATGTTTGTCAGTGCTGGCTCACATGACCCGCCGCCCCCCCCCCCAGTGACATGAAAACACTGCATCCTTTCAAGGACCACGAGTGACCAGGGCAATGATGAGCCATAAATGAAGTGGAAATAAGAGACCAGGGGTAAATGAGAAAGAGCTGGGTGAATGTTCCTTTTTCGAAAACATCTGAATGAGATCAGCCCACTCAGTGCTGGTCTCCTGCTTAAGGAAAGTCTTGAGTCCCACTGACTAGCCTGCTATGCTACTGCGTGTTGACTAAATCCGAGGTGTGAGCAGTTCGTGTGAGGACCAGGGCCTGAGCACTGTCTGTGAGTAGCATTGTATGACTTTGGCTTACTTGCAGTGCAAGCATCCTGGCACACGCAGGGCCCCACACTGCCCAGTTCAGTCTCTTCTTTCTCCAGCAGCAAGAATCCACTGCAGGGCACCCCTGATTCTGGAGCATTCCTCCTGTGGGGAGCCCTAAGAGTGAGCCTGTGTCGTCCTTTCTAACAAGTCTAACCTTGGACCTGTTCCTCCAAGCCAGTCTGCCCAATGCCCCAGCCTGAGCACAGAGTGTATGGTGTCACACATGATCAGCAAGATGTCACTTGAGAAGACTTCAGTCAATCAAGCAAAGAAAAACCTACATGCCTCCATGTAATGTGCACACACTGTGTGTACACACACACACACACACACACACACACACACACACACCACAGGTGTTACTGTGCAGGTTAAAACCAACAGGTGAAATGAAAAATGAACCAAGCACCACAGTGCACAGATGGAGGGTGTTACTGTCAGCATCACTGTGAAGAACAGTCCTTGAACAGGTTCTGGAACTAAGTTACTAGAGCTTGTGGGAAGCAGAATATGCTCATCACATGTCTTAGAACTGTCTCAGCCCACAATCCTGAAATCCATTTACATCTCTCCTGGAGATGCCACATCTACACATTTGTGAGAATCAGATCATTGATTTTTCTTTATGATCCAGTTAACCAAATCAATAAAAAAGTTGCATCTTTGAAATGATTTTATTTAATAGCCTATGAAATCTTATTATGCCTGGTATTATGAGAGGCAAACTTTTAATGTAAGTATGCTAATCTATAATACGGGAGAAAATATTTATCATGATGAAAGCACCTGGATATAGCTGTACTTTAAGAAAAAAATTGGTGTTAGAAAAGTTAACTGCCTGATTGTAAAATCAACTTTGATATTATAAAGTACATAATTGTGAGATTAGGAAAAGACTTTCAGTGAAAAAAATAAAAAGAAAAAATAACTACTAGAGCAAATGTGAAAAAAAATAATGAGTTCTACCCGACGCAATGGCGATGGATTAGGCTGTTTTCATGTAGAAAGGAAGCAGGGAAATACTGGCTCACAGTTCTCATGGCTGCATTTTATCTCCAGGGAAGTTACAAGCTAGTGAGGAAGCACCATTAGCGCCTTAAGTTACAGGACAGAACAGCAGGAAGATAAATTCCATAGATGATAGAGCTTTTACTTGAGCAATTAAAAATCTGGTCTGAAGTTTAGATTTCATCAATCAGCCAGGTTTCTGGCACTAAGAAGGAGAAGGTGATAAAGGGCGAGAGCCCAGGTGGAATCGGCCTGGGGGGATGTGCTCCGAGGCCTCCCTGGAAACCAGCCAAACCTGCACTGCAGAAAGGCTGTGTTGACTGCCACAGTGTGAATGACCCGCGCGGCAAAAACCAAGCAAAGGGCATGACCAAGGGCACGGCCGGAGGAGAAGCACGGGGTTCTAAGGAGGCCAGCACAGGTCGGTCCTGCCCACGCCGCACGGGGGGGAGACGGGCTTCTGCTGCTGCCTGGGGACCCTACAGGCGTGAACATGCCATTCGGTTGGGGCGGGGGTAACGGAGCACATCGGGAGCCAGTCACACAGGCTGTGATTTCTTCTTGCTGTGTTACCAAGATGGACTGGCTGAGAGAGAGGGGTCATGCTGGCACTGTCTCGGGGAGAAGCACTGGGTAGAAGGTAGGGTGCGGGCTGAGGTTCCAGACCCAGAGCTCATGTACGTGCTTGGAGCAGGCCTGGATGAGAAGGAAGAAAATAAGAACTGGAGAGTAGACGGGGAGTGGCAATGGAGGTGAGCAGCACGCTCCGAAGGAGGAGGACGGCCTGGCTCGAGCTCTCAAGGACATGGAACAGCACTGACATGTCTGGATGCGAAGGGCATGACTGTGCTGATGATATGAAGGTGGAAAATCATTAACACCACTGATAGAAAGCAGAGAGGGAGGTTAAAGACGTCAGTAGTGGACGGAGGAAAGGAGCTTTCCAAGTGTTGCGATGGACACGTGGGACTTGGAATGTGCTTTCGAGGACTTCTCTCGGGCTCAGGAACACTTTCGTACGCTCAAGCGCACTGCTCACTTCCCGCTGCAGGCTGTGAACACATGCTCTTCCTACGGACCTCTCAGCTTTTCTGTGCAGGACATAGATCACGCCTCCTTGTGTGACTGTAACACACCCACTTGTGAGGTGTAAATGTGGGATCATATTTCCTGTGACTATGATTGTCTGTGGAGCAGTAATATGGCATTTGGAAAATAATTAACATCACAGAGGTCTTATGAAACTATAACACTGAACGGGGCAAAATGAAAAAAATAGGTCAAAATTCATTAAATAGCATATATTCAAATAAAAACATGCTGATGAATACAATACAGTGTCTGTGGTGCTGGAGATCTGAGGCTGTGCATGGATTAAAAGCCAGACTCAGGTTTAAGTTTTACTCCTGCACATGCTACCTCCTGTCACTTCTGAAGGGTAAACGTGTTTACCAGGGGGTGACCACAATCAACGCTGCATTAGTTGTGGGAATCGGCTTCATCCAGCTGCAGAGCTTAGCATATTTCTGGCATTTCACTGAGGCCCCAATAAATGTCAGCTCTGTTTTTTTTTTTGGAAGCCACAAGATGAATTTTTCTTAGGAGAGTTCAAAATGTAAGGTTCAAAATCTGCTTTCATAAAGCTTGAAAAAATAAAAAGACCTGATAAGAAATTCTCAGCGTTGCAGGGATGGAGGGAAGGGAAGCCGGGCCCTGTACTGAAACACAAAAGCAACGCTTGAAATCCTGCTCACTCACGATCACCCCGCCGCTAACGCCCATGTGCTGAAAGTCCTTAAAGATGAAATTTAATTATAGAGGGAAGTTCCTAACTTTTAACAAGGAAGCTTTTAAAGCAGGAACCACCAGATCCGTGACATATCCTTGCACAAAGTCTCGCAACACTGTGGCAGAACTTCATGGGGTTTGAGGATGGAAAGAAGAATTTGGGATATCTTGGGTATATAACAAGTCCCTTGTTAGTGAGTTTATGGGTTCCTGACTATGGCTTTGTACCGAACACACCATCTTATTCTGGAAACCCAGTAAGCTGGAGTCCTAGGGCCCAGTGTGTCCTCTTTTCCTCTAAGTGGAAATTTACTAGTCCCAGCTGCAGGCACTGCGCGTCAGAGCCGCGCCGCGAGCGCCCCCCGCTGTCCCTCACCTCTGCAGAGAGGAGCCGGGAAGTCCCAGGACGCGCCGTTCCCCGGGCTGACGATGCACGTCAGGACTGCGTGCCCTTCCAGGATGTAGCCCGGGAGACAGCTGTACCGGATCTTGTCTCCTATGTTGAATCTTGTTCCGTGCAGAACTCCTTTCAGTATTTCCCCAGGATTTCCACAAGTGTGGCTAGGTAAAACTATTGGAAAGAGAAAAAAAAAAAATCAGTTGAAAAAGTTCTGTTCAGAACCATTTATATCACAAAATAGACACCACTCTTGAACTATTAGAATTATCAAATATCTGGCATGGAAAAACAAACTGTGCCTAAGACATGAAATATCATCAGGTTCTAGTATATCTGCCCTATAATACATTTATAACATTTAAACAGTGTGAATAAATGCATTTTGTTGAAAGAGGAAAATGTATTCCTGCTTAGATTCAGTGCTCCTGACGTCGATTATTCTTATTGTGGTGGGATTAAACATGCCAGTGCGAGGAGCAGCAAGACAAAACAGCAGGACACAGAGCTGAAAAATCTATCGGAAACACACATAAACACCCTCACCGCACTTGAGGGCTGTTCCCATGCTTCCAGGACTTGTGCAGCACCCAAACACACCACCAATGTGCAAACAATGTCTGATGGATGAAATTTGCATTAAGAAATGAACCAAACTATCTCATTCATTAATCTATCAGTGTTGGAAGAAATGTGCTATTCTTATAATCCAGGCATAGGCTTTGCACATTCATGGGATCTGATTCAAGGTGGACTTTAATCATGTGTGCTGATGATACCCATGCTGCAGTCATGTGCCGTTCGAAATCAGGGCCTCAACGCCGCTCCTTCCCAATTTTCTCACTTTTCACCTCGACAATATTCTCTAACTCGACTGAGACCTCAGCAACCTGATACCACTCTTTGGCCATAGATGAATTTACCCATTCTTAAGCAGAATGCAAATAACTCATACTTTTAGCTGTTTCCCAAAGTGACAGATGTTGATGGTCTACAAGAAAAAAGAAAGAAGTCTCTTCTACTGCTACATTACTGCGAAGTAGTGGGGCCATTCTGCAAAACAGTATGGAAGATCCACAAGAGAATAAAGAAGGAACTTCTATGTGGTCGGTCAGTCCTGCCACTGAGTGTACATCCAAAGAGAAGAAATCTGTGTGTGGAGGAGACACCAGCACGCTGATCTTCATGGCCATACTGTTCACAGTAGCTGATACAGAATCAAGTAAGTGCTCATCAGTGAACAGAGAAGGAAAATGAGCCGTGTGTACCCAGGGGGTATGACGCACCCACAGTGATGGTGAGACCTTGTCATTCAGAACCACATGGGCGGCCTGGAGGAAAGGCATTGAGTTCAGGAAATGCATCAGGAACCAAGAGAACTATTGCGTGTTCTCACTTCCTCATTGAATTTGAAGATAATTATTGTTTTCACTGGTTGTGAACAGCACTTTTCACCACGACGTGTACATTTACTAGTACAATGCATAAGTCATGACTCCTAGGGATAAGAATTATCAATACAAATTCATCAAATACTTTTAAAGCTGCTAGGAATAATTCTGAAAAGAATCACTGGCATTAATGGAAAATCCAAATGACCCATTCTGAAAATTGAATTTAACTTTACTACATCTTAATCCATTCTGCTGTTGAAAACAGCAAGAAAATATATTTACATTAACTCCAACACAGACAGTGTAATTGCCTGTTGCCCAGAAATGTCCACGTAGCACTAATCAACAGTGCTACAGAAGTAGATGTCAGACCGCGAGGTGCCGGTGCCTGTGAACGTGCTGCATGGCCTACTGTCCACGGCCCACTTACTGCCTCTAGACAGGAGTGAACCAAAAAGAAATAAAACGCTGACACCTCCCAATGTCACAGTTTCCGCAGGAGGTGCAGAAGTGTACTGACGCACACTTTTGTGGGGAAATTATTAATGAATACAAGCATCTCCTGAAATAGGCTGTGAAAGAAACTTCTCTAAGCACCTCCGGCTGAAGATGTTGAACAGAGCTAACCCTGTAAAACCGAGACAGAAAAAATACTTCTTTCTTCAAAATTAGCAATGTCAGACAGAAGCTTTAATAGGGAAGATGAATGTTGATGCCGGAATCATAGTACTGTCTCCCTAGTGTAAGAACCTAAAAGGGTAAATAAAATCCAAGAGGTACAATAGATACTGGGGAAGGGAAAGAAACTGCTCAAAAGGAAAGAAACTCTGGAATGGGGAAAAGGAGAAAAGAAAGAGAAAATAATATGTACATATACACAGGATAGGCAAGGTAATTGTACTACTCATTTCTCTTGGTTGATTGAAAGGAACAGTTAATGCTTAATTTTTTTATATTATTTTTTGTCCAATTGTACATGTTTATATCTGATAATCTGAACAACTACTTTGAAGACAACAATAGGCAATATAACAACCATTGTTGACTTCCTATCATCTTGTTTTTTAAAAATTCTATATCATTACTAATGTTTTTTATTACTTTTTATTCTCTTTAAAATAAGGAAAAGAATATACCGTAAAAAAGAAGTATGGATGGAAAGGGTGGCTGTCCCCAGGCCAAGCAGCCCTCTGCAGGCTCGCTGTGGCGTAGGTGGGAGCCCTTTCTCCGGAGGGTGGATTCCTCTGCAGGGCGATCCCATCCTGCCCAAGCACTTCGGGGCTCCTTGGGGACCACAGGCTGTCCAACGTGGGGTTTTTACACTACTTCACTGCCTCCTTCTGTTTTGTCTGTGGATGTTGTTTGCACCTTAGCTTTTTGACCCATAATTATAGTAGAATTTTAAAAATAAACAGATCTAACTCTAAGTCTTTGAAAGGAAAGAAACTGCATTCAAAGGATGCTTAGGGCAGGAGAGGAGATGCAGTTCTGATCTCCTTTTCACCCTCCTTAGCTACTGATTTACCGAAAATGTTTCCTCATCAGTGTCTATTCACAGGGAAGGTGTGAGATTGAACCAGATACAGTAGGTCTGTGCACATCTGCGCATTCCTACCCTTTCCTGAGGTGGAGTTGTGAATCGCTGACAACACTTCTGTAGGTCCTCCATGCCTCTTACCTAATTAAATAATAAATTAATTCTCTTTAATTCTCTTCTTGAGCTATGTGCCCTTTTTCCCATAGATGCTTCAAATGGGCTGGGGATACATCCATTTCACCTGGGGCCATGCCAGGTCTAGAATCTTCACTAGCTCTCAGCAGTGCTTGCTAAGTATTTGTTTGCTCAACTAAATGATGAAGGTAACTATTAATGTAATACCACCCCATAATCCCCTAGGTATAGCATGACTAAGATTTGCATAGCTCACAAGCCAGTGGGAAGACAGAAAATACAAGCTTTTCAAAAGCAATTGGATAAAGAATTATATTGGAAACAGTCAGTTTATTCCCACAGTTGTCAAAATATGTATGTGGGCATCAGAGTCCTAAAATGAATTTAAGCATGTTTAACCCTTTGATGCCTCGGGACCCCTGTTTGGAACACCCATAACAGGGGAACATGACGAAATGTGTTCTCTTCAAATTCGTGTTCCTTCCATTTTCCTAGGTAGCATATGTGAATCTCATGCAAAGATTTCAAAAAGTCTTCACCACAAATGGATTAAAGCCAAATCATGGAGAGTGGGTAAAAACTACCTTTTAAAAGCACTGGTTGGTAGCGCACAGTTACAAACTGGAGATTCAGGGACTGAGGATTTTTATTTTCAACAGTTTAAATTGTTCTTTTTTAAATTTCAACGTGAGTAATGTCAAATGCACATAGCTATAATTGAAGATGAAATAGAAAATTTAATTCCTATTGCAAAAAGCCAAAAGCCAAAATGCTCATGTTACAAAACCATCAGCAATTTCGTAAATTAATAGTTAATAGAGCTGGAAAACAGATGTAGTAAAAGTTCCATGCAATAGTTAATGTTCAGATACCTAAAAATTCCAACAGAGCAGACCAGCGGATGAGAAAATCATTTCAAATCAAGCAAATACAAGTCAATTGACATTTCTGTCAATTTCACTCTAATTCTACTTTTTTTTTTTTTTTTTTTTTTTTTGTCTTTTTGAGATAGGGTCTTCCTGTGCAGTTCAAGCTGGTCTCGAACTTACAATGATCCTCCGGCCTCAGCCTCCCAAGTGCTGGAATTATAGGCCTGCACCACCATGCCCAGCTTGTCACTCTAATTTCTTCAACCAGTTTTCTTGAAGGTGCCGAATTCCCCCATGTGTCCCTACACAAGAAGGTGGACACATTAAGTATTTAGGAAACACTTGCTGAGTTGACTTGAACTCTACTTTTAATTCTCTTAACTCCTTTTGGGCAATGTGCCCTCCTTCCCAGACATGCTTCAAGAAAGGCACTCTTACTAGGTGCTGGGAGTTCTGCTCTCGGAAGACATCCCACGCTGGGAAAAGGCTTCCTGAAGGGAGCTCTGGATCCAGCTCTGCCTCCGTGGCAGGGCTCCATCATACCCCGGGAAGCCAAGCTCACACCCAGAGCTGGAAACACAGGCTGTCACCCCAGTTATGCTGGTGGGAATTCCCTCCATAACACTTCTGCTTTGGCAAGTACATATGGTCACAATCCAGTGACTTAACGGGGCTATCGCATCAACTTTTAACCTAAGTGTTCAAATGACTAAATGAATGTCATATCAAATCCCTTTCCAAAAAGGGAAGGTGAAAACATGATGCCGCAATAACATGCAGCATTAGTGTTCATTACTAGGTGGACTAAAGGCCGGCAAAAAGCATTCTTCCACGGAGCAGCAGCATGTGGCATCATCGTCCAATCGCTGAAGTTTCCTTAGATGTACTCATCCAGAACCTCGCTCCCGAGGGTTTCTGACGGAGATTCCTTCCCACCCTGCCTTTCCTGTGGCCTCTGCGATTCAGGAAGTGAAACTTCAGATGCCCAGCAGACAGCAGCCGCCATAAACTCTGAACCAGCCCTCGCGGGTGTGTTCGCCTGTATGCGGTTTGCTGCAGAAAGTCCCTCACCACACCCTCTCCACCCTCAGGGAAGAAGATTAGAGAGCTTTTGTTAAACACTTTCCAGGAAAATTTAAAAATAAGATTTTCAAATCCTAAAAGTTAACGTGTCTTCTTAGGATGCTTCATTGTGGACTATCAGTAAAACAGGAAATGCTGAGGCAGCAGGAACATGAG